CCCCCACACCCTAGACACCGCACACGAAGACACACATCCGCCGCTAAATACGCAGAATATTGTGATCAAGTGGGCCTTCGAGCTTCGAGTTTTGTCTTGATCAAGCTCCGAGACATAGGTCCCAGCCGACGGATGCACTCTATCAAACATGTACAAACAAAGCGCGCCGCACCAGGTGGTAAGGGACCTGGGCTGATGTTGGGCCTGGCATGCTTGCTGGTGGAGAAAATACTTGGACGTATCAATAGTGAAACATCTCTTTTTTATGCACTGCAATGCTACGTCGACTGAAGTTTAAGACAAATGTACCAACTCGTACACCAGACAGAGCTCAAGCACGATATCCAAGCACCGCGCTGACGCGATTGTGGCGTGGGGAAAGCTTGACACGAACTGGCGCAAACGATCCCGTAGAGAGCTCGTCGTGCGCCTCGATAATCGCGCCCTGGTACTTCTGGACATCAAATGCCCAGAGCAGGCATGCGACCACCAGGAAAATCTCCTGCTGAGCGAGGGTCTTGCCCGGGCAGGCGCGCGGACTGGTGCAGGTTGTGAGGGAGCAGGCTTCACTGAGATGTGTTTTTGGACGTACCCATAACCGAATACGGAGTAGCCTGGCTCTACGTTTGTCGGCTGGTCTTTCAGATGGCGCTCGGGCTGGAGCATAAATGTAAGTGTCTGTAGATGGGCCTTTGATCGCTCGCTTACCTCGAGCTTGTCTGGGTTCGCATAGCGAGCCGCATCGTGAGTCAGAGCATGCTACTCTATGTTAGAAAAAAGCTTTTAAATTTAGAGAAAAAGATGCGTACAGTGTTCAGGACAATTACAGTATCCTTAGGGATAAAGTGACCACGATAGGTGACGTCTTGGGTGCTTGTGTGAGGTATCGCCAGAGGACGAGGGTTGTTCAGACGCTCAGTTTCCTAGTATTTACCTCTCAGCGCGTTGCATCGCAGGTTGGAGAGTGTCAAGACTGACCTTGACAATAGCACCAATATATGGTAAATCCTTCTCAAGTTCGAGACCCGGAAGCCTGTCTCTACCAACGACGCGGTCTAGCTCCGCCTGCGCCCGTGCTTGCACATCCGCGTATTCTCCAATTTGCGCCACGAATCCAGACATGACGGCCGCAGTCTATCCATCATTGTAAGCGCTGGTACACCAAAGTACCGACAAACCGACCTTTTCCACAGACGCGATCATCAACTCGCAGCAGAGGAGCACGATGTCTTGGGAGTCCAAGTTTTCCTCTTCCTTCAACTTCAGCAAGTGCCTCGCCAGGCAGTCAGGCACATCTTCTCCGGCTTTGATACGGCGGTCAATGTCGTCCACGAGCGCGCCGCCAATGTTCACAAGACTTTGATGCAACTGCTTCGCCCGATTGACGCCCGACAATGTGGGGAACCTGCGCAGGAAGGGTACGAAGTCCACGGGATTCGAGATCGGGCCTGTGACAGTTCTGTGTGGCGTCAGGAATGTGGCGGAGCGCATTACGAAGAAACGCGTACGTGAACTCTTGGGCCAGCTTGAGCCAGTACCCAACCAAGGGGTGGTCGATGCTGTCCGTGCGCAGGCCGAAGATGATGGTCAACATGTTGTTGAGAGAGGTGCGTGTGACGTGTGGGAGCGGATTGACAGGGATTTTTCCGCCTTCGCTCCTGATGTAGAGATCCCTGAGCATGTCAACGGCCTCGATCTCGAGGCCGGGGAGATATCCCTTCAAAGCCTCAATACTGAAATATGGAGAGATGAGGCGATGGTTCTTGGTCCTGGAATGACAAGTGAGCTCTTTTGCATTCGGCTGAAAGCATACTGACGTACCAGTTCTCCCCGGTGGGCACAGCGGAGATACCGCGGCCGGCAAACACGATACCAGACTTCACAAATGTGTCTTTCCTAGAAGAGAATGTGTTACCTTGAGCCACTAGCAGGTCTTTGGCGATCTGGGGGTCGGAGACGACGATGTGCAGCTGCTCGCCGAGCCACACGGAGTACAGTGGTCCGAACTTCTGAGCCCATTCTTGGAGAGTGAGCTCTGGACGTCTGTCCAAAGAGAGCAGAGAGCCTGGCACGACATGCGTATTAAATCACGGACATCGCCTGAGCAGAGCGATGATGCTCACCTAGGATAGGTAGGCCTGCAGGCCCAGATGGCAGGGACTTGCCCAAAACCATCAGGCGAAGGCGATGGAAAACCTCGAGGATCCCATAGGTCAAGGCGATTACTGCAGACAGGAGGGCGACGGCACTGAACTTGTCATGCACGTTCGAGGGCATCGTGGACGGGTTCGGGAGATCGCGCTGGGGGGTGAAAGCGATACGCAAGCGTGACCTCGCTGTCCTATATACGGGGCGCAAAGACGGCATATATACGTCAGGCCTCTTGCCATCTACGCGTACCCCGTTCGAAACAAACTCAATCTCCGAATCCGACGGGCCTCTGGTAGCGACCTAGCCTGAGTCTATTGCTGTGTAGCGCGCGAACAACCAATAATCGGAGGCGTCTCCGCCGCTGCAAGTCCGTAACCCCGGCCCCTGCATAGCATGAGCGGGGGACACAGACAACCTAGACCCAATGAGCGTAGCGGCAACTCAGAGACAGACAGAAGCGACGAAAGACGACACCAGCCATATCATCGAGATTATCCGCTTTGCATACCGACCGAGAAACTCTGTTACTCAGAAGATTCAAGGCACGCGACCAGAAAATTAGAGAAAGCCGCTTCGACGCTGTCTATCTGACATTGAATGAAGAAGCCACAAGTTTTATCTATGCTATGCACAGCTACAGCCACATGTTAAATAAAATCTATTGCTCAAGTGTATATGGCCCACCTTGTCTAGTATATGAGAGACGAAGTATCCGCACGGAGACGGTTATAGTCAAGAAGACCATCAATAGGGCCAACGGCAGCAAGGGCAAACTAAATATTCCGTCAGCGAGTGGCACTCTAATCAATATAAGAGAAGACTTACGTCCTGATCCCAGATGTACTTCTTCGCCACCCGCCGAATGTCCTCAACGGAGACGGCATCAACAGCGTTTTCGATCTGCTGAGGAGTCATACGGCGGCCAGTGGTAACAAGCTGGCGACCGATGTCCTCGGCAATGGCGGTGGTACCGTCGAGGGTGAGCAGAAGGCTAGCCTTGAGTTGGCTCTTGGCGCGCTCGACCTCACCATCTGTAGGACCAACGGCCATGCGAGTCCACTCACGAATGGTGAAGTGCATAAGGTCGTCGATGTTCATCAGGTTCTCAGTGACGAGGTAGGCGCCCCAGAGGCCGGTGTCAGCGTACGAAGTCGAGAACGACATGAAGCTATTCGCGAGGTTGTTGGCGGAGACGATGTGGGAAAGACGAGAAGAAAGGAGCGTAGCGGAACCGAGCGAGCGGTCCCAGTTGCCCATGATAGACTGCATGACGAGCATGGGGAAGTACTCGGGCGAGCTCCAGCCGACACCCTGAACAGCAATGGCGATATGGGCAGTCGGAAGGGTGTCGTCGCGAATGCGGACTTCAGAGCCGACAAAGTGCGTCTTGGAATGTGCAAGACGGCCAAGGGAAATGGGATTGGGGGAGACAGGGAGAGAAGAGAAGTGCTTCTCTGCAAGCTTGACGAGTTCATTATGGTCAACGCCACCAGTACCGACGAGAACCATTCGGTCAGCAGTGTAGTTCGTCTTGATATAGTTATCGAGGTCATCACGGTTGATCGAAAGGATGTTCTGCTTGGGGCCGAGGATGGTGCGACCAAGAGGCTGGCCTGCGCGAGGTCAATTGAAATTAGTCAGCAAAGCGGACAGCACACACCTCGGAAAGCGACAGCGTGCAAGTGGTCAAAGACAACCTCCTCCATCTGCTTATCCACCTCCTGCTGCTCGCGCAGAATCACGTCGCGTTCGCGTTCAATCGCTGACTTCTCGAGCTTAGAGCTCTGGAGAATATCGCTGATGATGTCGACCGTCTGGGCTACATCCTTACGGAAGCTCTTCGCGTAGTACACGGTCTGCTCGCGCGAGGTGTAGGCGTTCAGGTGGGCGCCGAGGTTCTCAACCTCGAGTTCGAGCGCGTGCTGACTACGCTTGTTGGTGCCCTTGAAAGCCATATGCTCGAGGAAGTGCGCCGTGCCGCTTGTCTTGTCTGTCTCCGCCCGCGAGCCCGCATCAATCCAGACACCAACTGTAGCGGTCTGAGCGTGTGAGTGCGCTTCAGTTGCGACTGTCAGGCCGTTAGGGAGAGTAGTGAGCTGAGTGACAGGCGCATTCACCGCGGTCGCAAACGACCGCCAGGGCCGGGCCAATGGCTACTCAACGCGGTCAATAAATGATGCAAAAATCATATTAAAATACTCACTGATGGCCGTGCAGCACTGCGCAATGATCGCGCGAGCGAAGTAGAGAGTGTACGAGATACCATTGCGCTCGTCGTGGTTGGCGTTGAGGTCAGAGGTCGGGGATTCACGGTCCTCACGGGCGCAGCCGAGGATTTGAAGTCCGACCAAGCTCAACGATTAGACGCTTAACCGGCGGCTACGCTGTCCATCCGAGCCAAGGCGCCCGCTCTGTGTTACTTCCTCTGGAACCATGAGGCCCACCGCTGCTCGTCTGCTCAACATTCTCGTCCCAGTCAAGAGGCGAGTGAGGCTGTGTAGTAATAAGCATATTTATAAGCTCATAAACTTGCAGGACGATCGACTATGCGGTCAAGATTCGGGTGAATCCTGACCAGAAGGGAGTCGACCTAAATGTCAAGCACTCCATGGTGCGTTCACGCCCTATGACGCGTCGCTTCGTATGCTAACTATTCTCTAGAATCCTTTCGACGAGATTGGTGCGTTGAAGTCCGTGTTTCTTACCAGCTCGTCAATTAAGACCATCCGATGTCAGCTGTGGAGGAGGCCGTACGGCTACGCGAGAAGCTCAAGGACGAGGTGAAGAGCATCAAAGTTGTCACTATCGGGCCTGCGAAGGCTGCAGAGACGCTGCGCACCGGCCTTGCCATGGGTGCTGACTCTGCCATTCACGTGGAAACTCCCGAGTCCTCCCCCCCTCCGGAGCCTCTTGGAGTCGCGAAGGCCCTCCGTGCACTCATTGAGAGGCAGAAAGACGGCGTCGACCTTGTCATTCTGGGAAAGCAGGCCATCGACGATGATGCGGGACAAACTGGTCAGATGCTCGCCGGACTGCTTGACTGGCCTCAAGCGACCTTCGCTAGCAAACTTGTTGTGGACCCGACGAAGAAGGAAGCGAACATTACCCAGGAAATTGATGGAGGGCTGCAGGAGGTGAAGTGCAAATTACCTTTAATTGTGACAACAGACCTCCGGTACGTTCATCGCCACATCATTCCAACTGACATTACCCAACTCACGGTATTCTCCGCAGGTTGAATGGTGCGTTTATGGTCCAAACGTATCCGTAGAGAGCACTAATTTTTTTTTCTTAGAGCCGCGCTACGCTTCATTACCGAACATTATGAAGGCTAAGAAGAAACCAATAGAGAAACTATCACCGTCGGATCTTGGTATAGACTTAACACCACGTCTTGAGACCATCAAGATTACCGAGCCGCCGAAGCGCCAAGGTGGCGGAAAGGTGCGTAGCACTCGGCTTCGGTCTTTAGTGGTTTAACCCTATGGCCTTCAGGTTGAGTCTGTAGATGAGCTGATCGCGAAGCTCAAGGAAGCCGGTGTCGTCGGCCGGTGAGACTTGCTCATGTAATCGCATGCACCTCGGCAATGCAAATGTGGATACAAATGCCTAGTACCCTTCGGCCGACATTGCATTATTTGCAGCTGCGCCGCGATGTATCACCAATTCCGGCTACTTTCGGCCCGGGCCCTGACTCGACCTAGTATATGTACTGCGCAGCTATGCCACTCTGGTAATTCTATGCGCGCTGCGATCATGGGTTCCAAACTTGCTGCAGAGATCCTCTGGAAGGCAAATGGCCTTCCTAACAGCTGGCTACCACGATTGCGTCTGACAGAGAAGGCTGACCCCGCGGTTAATTCGTCGTTCAGGCTTGGTTCCGTAGCCCAGGTGAGGCATCCTTTGCGGCAACTCAAACAACATGGCGTGTTTATTCGGCTGTGCCTTGAACCCAGACCTCCGTTGGTCTCGCCGGGTTGGCTGCAGCACATTATCACCATCTGAATACGCGTGTTGAACAGAATGTGTCTGTGGATGCACGACATGCCGTCCTAGAATTCAGTGCGCGCAGGACAGCCCACTGCTCTATTCCAACCGGTTAATAACTGTTTGTATGACAGAAAGCGAGCTGTATTATGCAGTCGATGGTCAGTTGGTTGGGTCTGGCCAGCTCTTTGACGAGCTAGCCGGTGTCTATCGGACGAAGGATAACAACTTTGTCCGCATACACACCAATTTTCCTCAGTACGCGCAGTCGAGTTAGTGTACGCGTAGAGTTATTTGACTCGTGACAGCCATCGTCAGGGCATCTTGGACATTCTAGGTTGCAAGCCGACCAAACAGGCGGTCGCAGAGTCCTTGCTCCAGTGGGACTCATTCGCCTTCGAAGAAGAAGTGGCATCGAGGAAGATGGTTGCCACCGCGCTCCGTCGATTCGAGGAGTGGGATGCGCACCCTCAAGCCCGTGCGTTGTTTGACGTGCCCCCAGTCGAACTTATCAGGATTGGCGACGCACCAAAGCGTGCGTCTAGAGCGTCGCACCGTCGGCCGCTGGAGGGCGTGCGCGTGCTCGAGCTCACACGAGTCCTCGCCGGGCCCGTGGCAGGGCGCACACTCGCAGGTGGGCGTTAACGTGTAAAACTGTCACTTTCGACGCACTCAGGAACGCCCTTTCTGTGCACAGCTCATGGCGCCGACGTCCTGTGGATTACCTCGCCAAACCTGCCTGATTTGCCAACTGTGGACATCGACACCTCACGCGGGAAGCGCACCACGCAGCTCGACCTCACGGAGCCCGGGGACCGTAGTGCGCTGCGTGAACTTGTCAAAGATGCAGACGTATTTTTGCAGGGCTACCGCCCGGGCGGCCTGGCCGACAAGGATTTCGGCGTGGCGGACGTCGTGGCGGCGCGGCCTGGGATCGTATACGCGAGTCTGAACGCGTACGGGTGGGACGGACCTTGGAAAGACCGACACGGGGTACGCTTTTTCGGCCGCGCAGTCTTTCACTCGGGACGCTCATAGATGCCGCAGTTCGACTCTCTCGTGCAGACCGCCACCGGGTTCAACGCGGCCGAAGCTGAGGCCTACGCAGCGTTCACGGGCGACTTTGGCGCGCGCCCGCTGCCCCCGAAGCCGTTCCCCATGCAGGCTATCGATCACGCCGCAGGATATCTCCTGGCCTTTGGGATCAATGCGGCGCTGTGCAAGACGATAACGGTGTGCAACCTGATCTTCGCCGCTTGCTGTAACGCTGACCATCAGACCTAGGAGGGTGGCTCGTGGGAAGTGCACGTGTCGCTCGCCGCCGTGGGCCAGTGGATACGCTCGTTTGGGCAGCTCGAGCCGGGCGTCGCGTTTGGCGAGGGCGCGCCCCTACCTCCGCGCAGTCTGCCCCAGGCTCCTGAGATACAGGCTATTACAATCGAGTTGAAACAGTCAGCCGGAGACAGGGTAGATGGGGATGAGCGGAAGGTTATGAGTGCCGTCAAACACAGTGTGGTGCTGTCTGCCACGCCTGTGCACGAGGGCGAGGCGCCGGTGAGGCTGGATGCCCATCTGCCTAGGTGGCTACCTCGGTCGTGAGGATAGGCTTTGAGAGCTTGTCGGTTAATACAACCAGGGTCGATACTGCTTATCTATCCTTGATGATCAGATATACTTAGGGTGTCTTGCATGTACTGTGGACCCTCAGATTATCAGGATTGGACCGGTTCGAGAACGTTGTCGCACCACTGCATCATGCTTGTCAGAGAACGATACGACGAAGTGGATAAACAAGCAGTGTCCCTTCGTATACCAGTGACCTGCTTGCTTGCCTACAGAAACAAGCGTATACGGCTCGTAGCTCGTAACGTAACCTGGGACACAGGTAGTGTGCCCGCGATACTACCGCGTCGTTTGTAAGGTAAATAGGACTTGCCGAGGCACGCCCAGCGCGGTATCGTACGCCATGAGGTTCAACGTCGTGCGTCGTCGCGAGAGTTTTGGAAAATTTCGCGTTCATTTCGTGAGGTGTTACAATTCGCAAGAGGGCACGTTCCTTCTGCAACACTTCTTGCATATAGCGGGGGGCCAATGGAGACGGACTGGCCAAACACGCGCTCGCTTCTGCCGGCAAGGTCTACGGGCTAAGGGAGCAGAGAGAGTACCCTTTACGCTCGGATGATGTTCTGGAGGCAATAAATCGCGAAACCTCATTAATACCTCTCCCGGAGAGCATCTGACGCATAAAACGGGCGTCGTGAGCTAGCATGCGAAGCCGGTCTGAGGCCTGGGCCGTGCACGGTAATGCCCCTGGTTGGCTGGCCGGGCAAATTCCCATTTCACGAGAGGATGACAACACAGGCTTCGGGTCAGCTGCCTGCTCTGCCAACGCCTTGACGACACACGCTGTGGCCCCCAAGTACCGGCCGGGTGTTGAAGGGGACAGAGAGCTAAACCGCGGTCGGATCTATCGCACATTGCCCCAAATATTCCCAAAAATAATGCAGAAAAGGCACAGCAGACGGAGCTTCACCTGTCAGTCATACGAGATGAAGTCGACATGTTGACACGGAACATATGTCGGAGAGAGTATCGTCTGCAGCGACAGCGATGGTCAAGACCGGCGAGGGACCTCCGGCATCGAGCGGCCATGGGATTCGGCAACCAAGGCAGGCTGTTCCGGCACGCCCATGCGCAGGCCAATCGGGCGGCACATGGCGGGTCTCGGCCGCTGTTTCGGAGAACTCCCGAAGCGCACTCTGAGATCCCTCCGTGCAGACTCCAGAGTGACCTCCAAGGTCGTCTGGTCTGACGTATATAAACAAACTCATTTCCCCCAGATCGATGTGTTTCTCCTCTCTAGCCGTGTCTCCCATCCGCCACGACCCACGCCCTCCATAATTTTTGTCTCTTCCTACTCTACCTAATCTTTGTTCGTGAACCTCGTCCTCCGTGATGTCGACACCGCTGCAAACGTCAGGCGCAGGCACCCCGAGCACTTCAACGCCCAACTCTGAGGCCAAGGACTTTTTGCCTGTATCTGGACAGTCACTTTTGCACCGCGTGAAGAACGTTCCCGGCTATTCTACGCCCGTTTTCAAGGGCAAGGAGGAGCAGCGCGCGAAGGTCCAGGCGAACATTGCCAAACAGGTTCGTGTCATTTGTGTTAGGGCGTTTCTCGTGTGATCGCAGGAATCGTCTCCTTTTCATCATATACTTACGGGGAACCTGTCTGTCTAGGGTTTCATTCCTCGCGAACTCGTTGTGAACGAGGTTAACTGGTTCTACTCGCATCTTGGCATCGATGACACCTACTTCGTGTCCGAGTCAACCGACGTGATCACAGACCACATTGTCGCCCTCTATGGAGCCAAGGTCCTTGCCTTCACTAAGCACGACCAGTCGAAGCTCGTGATCGATCTCGAGCACATTGACAAGGACGGCAAGGGCGCGACTTTCATCCACACTTCCCCTCCTGGCAAGACCAGCACTGAAGGTCCCGGCGCAACAGTCGAGAAACGCATCGACGAGCTATTCCTTGACCTATCAACCCCCGAAAACGCGTACCGTCTTGAGACCTACCGTTCGGCGGGCTCTGTGTCCGCTACCGCGAGCCAACAACTGCGTTGCTACTTCGTCTCCAAGTGTAACTTCCCTACCAACCCGCCGGCTTCGACACGCACTGATGGGTGAGCATAGATCAGCTGTTGCGTTGAGTCGCTCGAAACTGACAATCTTTTGCAGTAAGACGGATATCCGAACTGTTTCGGACCCAGCCTTCCTCGAGAAGGCTACTGAGAACACTCTCGAGATCTATCAAAATATTATGTGGCAGGTCGAGTCACGTTACGGTCCTGTCATGGAGGTAAGTTTCATAGTACGTCTATGTGGAGATGACTGAGTCTCTTCTCCAGGTCCTCGAGGTCGAGGGCAGTCGCGAACGCCGTCTCGTCATTGGCTACAAGATGGGTGGCACCAACAAGTTCTTTAGCGCGCTCTCCAACCTTTACCACTTCTACTCCCTCTACTCGGCCCGCAAGTATGTCGAGCAGTTCTCCAACGGTATCACTATCGTCGGGATCTACCTGAACCCACTCCCCGGTGCCAGTGCACCTCCGATCGAGAACTCGATCCACCAAGTCATGAAGGAGGCTTCGTTGCTGTACTGCTTGCCAGATAACCCCTTCTTTTACGCCAGCGGTAGTTCGTCGACTCATGCTGTCCAAGAGGCTACCTATGCATGTGAGTATATGCGCTCCATATCTATCTGAGTGTCATTCTTAAGCTGCCCTTCGGCAGACTGCGGCTGGATCTTCGCCCAGCACTTCTGCAACCGGCTCGGCGCAGCTTATCTTAGCCTCAAAAACCTGCTCGACGAGTCAAACCCATCGCACGCTGAAGTATTGAACGACATCAAGCGTCGTTTCAGGGAGGAGACCTTCACGCGTGAAAGTATTGCACAGGTTATTCATGCTCACCCTGACCTCGTAAGTCGCCATGCATCGTCGTGAATTGAAGCTGTAATGCCAACTTTGGGTCGAACAGATCAACCTGCTCTATGTGAATTTCGCCATGGTTCACTATCCGGCATCCGACCAAGCGCAGCTTATGTGAGTTTCGCTTGGGTTTTGCTCTATGCGCACAAATTGACAGTGACGCAGGCCGACCCTGTCATACCAACGCCTCCAGACTCAGGTCCCATTGTCTGATCAGGAAATCTACGATAAGATTCGTCGTTCGGTCTCGAACAAGCACGAGCTTCAAGTGTTGGAAAGCTTCCTGATCTTCAACAAGCACGTTCTGAAGACCAACCTCTACCAGCCCACGAAGGTTGCTCTGTCCTTCCGCCTGGCACCCGACTTCCTCCCCGACTTTGAGTACCCGAGGAAGCCATTTGGCATGTTCTTCGTCATCGGCAATGAGTTCCGCGGGTTCCACATTCGTTTCAGGGATATCGCCCGCGGTGGTATTCGAATTGTGCAGTCACGCAACAGAGAGTGAGTGTTCACTATGTGTTCAATTCGCAGCAGCTAACGTCCGCCCCCGAATAGAGCGTACTCGATTAATCAGCGTCAGCTATTCGATGAGAACTACGGCCTGGCGTCAACGCAGTCTCTCAAGAACAAGGATATTCCCGAAGGTGGCTCTAAGGGAACAATTCTACCTTCGTATGTCCCCACGCTGTTCCGCATTCGTTGCATGTTCTAATTTACTTTCAGACTCGGCGCGAATGCGAAGCTTTGCTTCGAGAAGTATGTCGACGTGCGTACCGCCGGCCTTTTCGTTATGCTGTCTGTTGCTCATTCTGTGCGCAGAGTATCATCGACCTGTTGATTCCTGGCCAGACTCCGGGTATCAAGGAGCGAATTGTCGACCTTTACGGGAAGCCCGAGATCCTGTTCTTTGGCCCCGATGAGGGGACTGCCGACGTCATGGACTGGGCAGCCTGTATGTGCTATCTACATGTCGATGTCAATTGCTAACCTTTGTACCATAGTCCACGCAAAGGCCCGCGGTGCTGAGGCTTGGTGGAAGTCTTTCACGACTGGCAAGAGTGCCGAGAAACTTGGTGGTGTCCCGCATGACACCTATGGCATGACCTCGCTCGGTGTCCGGCAATACGTTCTGGGCATCTACAAGCAGCTCGGCTTGCGTGAGAAAGACATTACCAAGGTCCAGACCGGTGGTCCTGATGGTGACCTTGGCTCCAGTACGTGTTCGCATCAGTTTCTGGGAATACAGCACTGACTCGCGTGATCTCAGACGAGATTTTGCTCAGCTCTGACAAGACCGTTGCGATCATCGATGGAAGCGGTGTTCTCGCTGATCCTCATGGCCTTGACCGTGAAGAGTTGGTTCGCCTTGCCAAGAAGCGTGTGCCCGTCTGCAACTTCGACACGTCGAAGCTCAGCAAGGATGGTTATCTTGTCCGGGTTGAGGACCAGGATATTCGGCTGCCTTGTAAGTCACTTTGTGTGTAGGCATTGAGCATACTGATTGAGTGAATCCAGCTGGCGAGATCGTTGTCGACGGCACAGAGTTCCGTAACACCGCGCACCTCAGGTTCAAAGCCGACCTCTTTGTTCCCTGCGGTGGTAGGCCCGAGGCCGTCAACATCTCCAACGTCGCTGCATTGGTCGACTCTGAGGGCAAACCTCACTTCAAGTATGTTGTCGAGGGCGCCAACTTGTTCTGCACACAACAGGCCCGTCTCTATCTTGAGAAGCGCAAGGTCGTCCTCTTCAAGGACTCGAGTGCGAACAAGGGTGGTGTTACCAGCTCGTCGCTTGAGGTCCTCGCAGGCCTCGCGCTCTCGACAGACGAATACGTGAACCTGATGATCTTCAAGGACGGCAAGCCGTCAGAGTTCTATCAGAGCTACGTGCGCGACATTCAGGCAAAGATCACCGAGAACGCCGCGGCCGAGTTCTCCTGCATCTGGAAGGAGCACGCGCGCCTCAACGGCGCCAAGCCGCGCACGATCATCTCGGACGAGCTCTCGAGCAAGCTGAACGACCTTCAAGCGGAGCTCGAGTCCTCGGATCTCTTCGAGGACGAGGCGAGCAAGCGTGGTGTCATGGGCCGCGCGATCCCGAAGACGCTCATCGACCAGGTCGGCCTCGATACCCTTCTGCAGAGGCTGCCTGAGACCTACCAGCGCGCGCTGTTCTCGAGCTGGGTTGCATCTCATTTCGTACGTGCCTTCCTTCCTACGTCTGTTGACCGCTCTGCTGACCTTGTCTCTGCAGATCTACAAGTTTGGCGTCAACGGCACCGCCGTTGACTTCTTCCACTTTGCACGGGACCTCGCAGCTTAGATTCTTCCTAGAGTCGAAGGCTAGATTCTGCCGTGATCACCGTTTCGTTTCTTGCATCGCATTGTTTCGACGCCTCAAAGAATTTCTTCGCTTGGTGGTATAGCCGGTAGATGGACATCGTTATCAAAACAAATGTAGAATAGACGTGTATATTATAATAGGACTGGTCTGCAGCGCATTGGTTGTTCGGCATCTGAGGCCCCACTCGCAACTGTTGCATAAGTGTGATCAATTGATACTCTCTATCTCGACGCCTGACTGAGGTACTTCACAGTAACCAGTAATCAGCAGCGCGCGAAAGATTACCCTATCGTGCTGATTGGTCCTCATCATACGTCCTCTCGGGCGCGGCTTTGAAGATGTCATTGATGAACGTTGAACTCTGCCATTGGTCAGCTCAGCCCGATGACCGAGTCCCGTGAGCCTCTGTACACATAAAGAGCCTAACCATCACCCTGCAGCGCTTTTTTGCCCGGTTGGTCCCCAGCGTAATGCACTGTCCTTGAACATGATGATCTGCTCGTAGACTTTGTTTGGAGATGGGAGAGATGCGGCTCAGACGAAGGCCCCACTGCCACGCCAAGCATGATGTCTCATTGGGCGAGTATGTGATCCTCTAGTGTGTATATGGGTTGAGACTTCTCACAGTATACACATCTTACGCCAAGAAAGCATGGCTCACGAATATCTAGGCGACCACCCCCGAATCTGCAGCGCCGCTGACAGCTCCCTGTCATGTGTGCACAGTTCGTTGAGCCGCATCTGAGGCAAGCTATGCGCACAGAAACCGACATGTTGCACTTTGATATCTTGGATATAGTATGGCTGCGACACAGAGGATCGAAACGCACCCCCATCCTTCATCTGTGTATGCCCCCATTGTAGCCATGGCTCTTGATGACGCTGAAATGCACCGAGCTGGTCTCGCATTTCTATACAGAATCGTGCCCGTCCTTGTGGCAACTATCCTATATGGTGAGTCTCCCAACCTCATCGTTCATCGCAAAGTGATAGATGGCCGGTCTCAGGTATCTATATTGCTATCCTATGTGTTGCGACACGAGGATTATGGTGAGAATGACGTTATATTGTCATGGATGTTGTCCTTCTAATACTATTATAGGCAACGCGGGCTGAGAGCCCGTCCGAACGCCGTAATCCTCATCGTCCTGTATGTTGTCTCCTGCTTGAGCACCGCACTGTGGGCTCTCGAGGTCGCTCAGTTGATCGGCCTGGTCGATTTACTGCTCTCGCCCGATGGCCTGTCGACTAATGCTTTGTTTAACCGTTTTTACGACCTCATCGCACGCGAGACAAAAGTGACTGGCGTCTTATTTGAGTCTCAAGTATGTGGTCCTTCTGGAGCCATCTTGCAGTGTCTTACTTGATGATGCATCCAGATGATTGCTGGGGATATACTCGTGATTTGGCGCGTCGGCGCTATATGGTTCGAGAAGAAGATCGTTGTGCTCCTGCCACTGTTCTGGTGGGTCCTCATGATCGGTATGTGAGCTTCTCTTGATGCTGGGAGAGCGTACTCACATAAATCTGGCAGTAAACATGCTGATACACTCTGCACGCTGCCAGTCGGGTGTAGCTACCACAAATTATGGAGAGCTGTGCAAAGTGACAGACGTTGCGGCACCCGTGTTGTCCATCGTCACGAACATCTCGGTTATGTTGCTTGTACTATGGAAAGCATGGTCAGTTAAGTCTTTTTAGAGGCCGAGAATGGGCTAATACTCCTCCAGGGAGATCAGAGATACACTCTTGGATGTTCTCCATCGGAGAAAAACCAATAAAATATTCACACTTTTCGTGCTGATGGTCGAGTCTGGAACGTTGTACGTCGTAATGCTGGTAAGCAGGGCGACGGTCTGCGTAATTCATTTATTGAGAATCATGATCTAGATTACTGACCTTCTCGTTACATCTATTGTGACTGGGGGGAACGAGACCGTAGGCCGAATGGTCGACTGCATCTGGGGCTATGCCGCAGTCCAGCTTGTCGTGCGTCACACCTCCGCATTGGTGTCATTGCCCCATTGATGCCATGATTACCACAGGGGATATACCCGACGTTGTTAATAGTTGTACTGCGAGAATCCGTGTGGAACTCAGACTACGCGGATTCAACACAGGGCCTGGCAATCAGCACCGTTCAGTTTGCATCACATAATGCCACCGCTGTCCGAAGTACAACCCAAAGTCCTGAGTCTCACGTAGAGCGCGGGAAGGGTAATAGCTATGAGCATGTTTCAGGCGGAGCTACAGGCTCGAGGTCTCGAGACTTGCATGAAGTGGTCCACCTGGGAGATGAGGAAAGTCAGCTGAGCGGCAAGAAGAAGCTAGGAGTTGCTTTATACTAGCCTGATGTATATGTCGATTTACACTCTGATGTTATGGCTTCGGCACTACAACGGCTTCCACAGCGCGACGCAGGTGCAGGTGTGAGCTGGAAGGCATGTTCTCTGGCGCGTCCAACAGCGTTCTCACCGGCCAGCTTGGGAGGTACGCCAATGCGAAGGAGGTGCTGTCGGCGATACAGTCGCGCCACGCCGTTCGCTGACGTGTCTCACCCTCGGGGGCCATCTTTGACGTCCCCCCCGCGAGCCCAACGCCGCCGTCGTGACAGGTCACGGTCACCTGCTTTATGGCTCTCGCGTCGCAGCGTCACGCCATCGGGCGGTCGCTTCCCTTCCGCGACCACGATGGACGCAGCACTACCAGAGGAAATACTCCGTGAAATTCTATCGCACAACCTACGAATATCACATGCCGGGTTTTGCTATTTCTACTACGACGACTGCGGGCACCCCATCTCGCCGCCAACATCTCGCTGCAGCAATCTCCTCCTCGTCTCCAAACGCTGGCTCCGCATCGGCACCCCACTGTTGTACGAATGTGTCGCACTCTCAAAGCCGGACCACACCACTGCGGTTTCAAGCCTCCCGCGCACGCATCCGCATGTTGACCTAGCTGTTCGGTGTCTCAGGCTCGAAGGCGGGCTCGGGAAGGACCTGGTACACATCGCAAAGCTTACGCCGAAACTGCACAGCATATATATCACTTTCAATATCAAGTCCGTCGACAGTATCACGGGATTGAAGAAGGCATTTCCGCTTTTTCGTCCTACCAACCTATATATCCAAAAGGAGAGCCACATGGAGAACAAGAAGGTTGCTGAAGCCCGGACGCTTGTGTGCACGCATGTCAAAGGCGTGTGGACATCACTGGTAAGCCACGGATCTAGCACTGTCTTCGCTAACTTTGGAATGAATATGTCTTTTAGCGGTCATTAATCCTGTCAGACCGGTTTGCAGATGGTATGGATCGACAGCTAGCTGACGCGCTTGCCGAGTCCTCTATTGAAGAGTTCGGCAGCTTGACATACGATGCGGACCGCTGGATTCGGGAAGGCTTGATGAGAAGGATTCTCGAAAATCCGCGACTGCAGCGCGTCGTATGCCGAGGGGCAGTGCATGAATCGACGACGCGGAAGACCTTGCAAAAGGAAGGTTTTCCTGACGCAATCATCCGGATGTTCACGTTTGTTCATCATAGAGCGGATGACAGGCTGTGGGTACCGCGATCAGTCACCATTTCACAAGGAACTAAAGTCGTCATCTAGTAACATGATACTCGCTGCAATGGATAGCGTCCTGTCTGATGAAGAGCTTTGATGACCATTTCGCCCCACTCACGGCAGCCTAGCCATGGGACATTGCTTACACATACGCATACCCCGCAAGATATTACGCTTCAATATACGGCAATTATCTCAACTTAATCTAATAAGCTTTACTCGGTTGGCCTACTTTACATTAGCTGTCTAATACAGGCTCGCGCTTTGCCATTACAGAAGAACACCTTTCAGATATGTTGGTCGTGCGCGCACACAAACTGCCTGGACGCGCGAGACCAGCTCGGTGCATTCCGGCATCGTCAAGAGCCATGGCAATGAAGGGAAAGTCCCCAGGGACAGAAACAGGATGGGAGTGCGGTTGGATCTTCTGTGCCACGGCTATATACAAGATAAAAAGCGAGATATGTCAGCTTCTGTGCGTACAGTCGGCCTCAGATGTGACCAAACAGACCGTGCACATATGCCAGGGAAGTGCCAACACTGCAGATGCGGAGCTGACCACTTAACTACTGTAGCAGTGAACTGTGTCTTCCTGACAAATGATGTATATACTGTGAGAAGCTTCGCCCATATACACTCCAGAAGATCACGTACAAGACATCATGCTTGCCGTGGCGGTGGAGTCTTCGTCGGAGCCGTGTCTCTTCCATCTCCAAACAAAGTCCACGAGCAGATCATCATGTTCAAGAAGGGGGTGTCACGCTGGGGTTAAGGCGCAGAAGCGATGCAGAGATATGATTGGGCTCCTTTTACGTGTACAAGTTCGTAGGACTCAGTCATTAAGTTGTACCTCCCGATGAAAGAGTTCAGAGTTCGTCTTGAAAGTCAGCGTCCGAAAGGACGCATGACGAGGAATGATCGGAGGGGAAAGGCCATATAAATTCTGGATAGACAAAAGGGGGCCGAGAAGGGGACGATGGTCGCAGCAGAAGACAGCCCTTGACTCTAGGAAGAATCTAAGCTGCGAGGTCCCGTGCAAAGTGGAAAAGGTCAACGGTAGTGCCGTTGAAACCGTACTTGTAGATCTGCAGAGACAAGGTCAACAGAATGGTCAACAGGCATAAGTTAATGAGGCACGTACGAAGTAAAATGCAACCCAGTTCGAGAAAAAGGCACGCTGATAGGTCTTATGCAGCCTCTGCGGAAGGGTGCCGAGGCCGACTTGGTCGATGAGCGTCTTCGGGATCGCGTGGCGTATGACGCCACGCTTGCTCGCCTCGTTTTCGAAGAGGTCCAAGAACTCGAGCTTCGCCTGGAGGTCGTTCAGCTTCCTCGAGTAGAACGATAGTGCGCGGCTTGGCATCGTTGAAGCGCGCAAGAGAACTCGGACGGGTGTCGCGTATGTAGCTCTGGTAGAAACGCCAATGACCCCGCTGCAGCTCATGTTGATCTTGTCCAGTGTGGTAGCATTCGACTTTTTTCGTCTTCAGAATCGTACCCGTCCTTGTGGCGACTATTCTATATGGTGAGCCTCCCGACCTTGTCATTCGCTGCGAAATTGATAGCAAGCCTCAGGTATCTATATTGCTATTCTGTGTGTTGCAACACGGGGTTTGTGGTGAGAGTAAAACGGCATCTCGTGGGTAAACCTCTCCTTACACTGCTGCAGGCAACGCGGGTTAAGAGCCCCTTCGAATGCGATGGTCCTCGTCGTGCTCTATGCCGTCTTCTGCCTTAGCACCGCTTTATGGGCTCTCGAGGTGGCTCAGCTGATTGGCCTGGTCGATATGCTGCTCTCGCCTGATGGTCTGTCGACCGATGCTCTTTTTAATCGGTTTTATGACCTTATTGCACGCGAAACGAAGGTGACTGGCATACTATTTGAGTCTCAAGTATGTAGTCTCTTCTGGAGTTCGTCTAGTAGTAACTCACTCTAAGATGCATCTAGATGGTTGCTGGGGACATACTCGTGATCTGGCGGGCCAGTGCTATCTGTTTCGAGAGAAGAATCGTCGTGCTCCTTCCATTGTTCTGGTGGATCCTTATGATTGGTAGGCCAGGCTTCTCTTGGCGCCTGGGAAGCACACTCAAATAAGCTTGACAGTGAATATCCTAGTACATGCTGCGCGTTGCCAGTCGGGCGTAGCCACCACAGATTATGGCGAGCTGTGCAAAGTTACGGACGTCGCTGCGCCAGTGCTGTCCATTCTTACAAACATCTCGGTTATGTTTCTTGTATTGTGGAAAGCATGGTAAAGCATATCTTCCTGACGGGCGAGGGTTGGCTAATATTTCCATAGGGAGCTCAGAGAGACGCTTCGGGACGTCCTGTATCGAAGGAAAACAAACAAAATATTCACACTCTTCGTGCTGATGGTAGAGTCCGGAACGCTCTACGTTGCGATGCTGGTAAGCAGCGCGACAACCTGCATGGTTTGTCTCATCGAGCATTTTGCTTTAGATCGCCGACCTGCTTGTAACTTCTATCGTAACCGGGGGAAACGAGACCGTAGGCCGGATGGTGGACTGCATCTCGGGCTATGCTGCAGTCCAGTTTGTTGTGCGTCGCACCTCTTCAATAGTATCATTACCTTGCTGAAGCCGAGACAACAACAGGGGATATACCCGACATTGTTGATAGTCGTGCTGCGAGAATCCGTGTGGAATTCAGCCACGGACTCGACAGGGGGTGTAGCAATCAGTGCCATCCAATTCGCATCACAAAATGCTGCTGCCGGGAGCACACTTCAAAGTTCCTCACAAGTAGAGCGCGGGAAGGGTAGTAGCTATAAGCATGTTTTGGGCGGAGCTATAGGTTCGAGGTCTCGAGACGTGCATGAAGTAGTCTACCTGGGAGATGAGGAAAATCAGCTGAGCGGCGAGAAGCTTGGAGTTGCCTTATAGCCTGGCATATATATATATCGATTTACACTCTGGTGTTACGGCTTCGGCACTCCAATGGCTCCCAAAGCGCGACGCATGTGCGGATGAGCTGGAAGGTACGTTCTCTGGCGCATCCAATAGAGGTTTCACAGGCCGGCTTGGGGGCTCCGCCAAGACGGGGGAGGTGCTGTTGGCGATACGGTCGCGCCGTGACGTTTGCTGATGGCTTGAGGGCCATCTTTGACGTCCACTGGCGACGCTGCGCGACTCAGACAAAAAGTAGGGCAGTAGACCGCTACTTCCGCGCATGATACCACATTTCGCTTGGCACTGTGCTCGCACGAGGTGAGTGCCATATTGCTAAAAGTTTCAGGACACTTGTGGTTATTCCTCTAGCCTCTGACATAGCGCCTTCCTCCATTTAAAATGTTTGTCACGTCACTACCAGTCGATACATTGAACTCGAGCTACGTATGCCACGACGCCACATCCATACCGTTATAGCATACATCGAGAAGAAGCGAGTGGTAATAGAACTGACACCATAAACCTAAACTGACCCATATTCCGCCTCGCAAATAATGTTTGTTCCAACGTCCGCGCCGAGGAGGTTCTCTTCAGGGAAACAAGCGGCCTAAAGTAATCCATATGAAGCAGCGAGCTCCCGAGTCCTTTCCTTCAGCATAGCTTCGGAGACAGGAGGGTCATTGCGTGCCAGGTTTTCGCGACATTGTGACATGTCTCTGCAGAACTCAAACCAGTCTTCACGCTCGAACGAGCTGCAAAAGCCGAAAATCTGAAAGGCGCGCGTCCGCAAGACTGCGTCATCCTTCACCCAGGGAAGAAGGAGCCTTTCGAGACAATCGTAACCTCTACGCTTCTCCCAGCCGATGACGCATATCATTCGTTTCAAATTAGGATTGAGAATGATCTTGCTGAGGGCTGTGTGGTCAAGAGTACGATAATCGTACTTGACTTGCTGGAGGGTAGGGCATGCGGCAAGGGCAGCTGTGAGCGTCTTGTGGTAGTAGCTGGTGATTCTTTGTATGCACATATACTGCTCCTGCACGAGCTATCAGAGAGCAGAAACAGCAAGCGCGATGCGTTTATCACCCACCAAGGCCCATTTTCCGGTAGCTATAAGATGCATGATCAAGCGTATAGCCTCCTTCATCGTTGCGCCCCGCCGATGCATGTCCGCGAAGGGCTGCAACGGGTCATTCAAGTGCAACGTCCTCGGGTTCAACATGGGCAAGACTTCGAGTAGGAAGGCAGCGCCGTCATCAGGTCCTACGGAGATCCAGAGGTGCTCTAGCCTTGGAGGTAGGAGCCGCACGATGTCGAGCAGGTCGGGGCTAAAACCGCCCCTGAGCCTCATGTGCTTGACGTGGCGTCCGAGTTTCGGCTTTGCACGCAGGACTTTGGCAACGTTCGCGGTGTGCTCCGGAGTTGACATCGACAGGTGCTCACATAGGAATGGCATGCCTATGCGGTTCCAGGACTTGCATACCAAGACCACATCAGTGACACGACGTGGTTTTATGAAGTCCTCCTGCGCCCACGGATTATAGATCCGTGCTGAATGCAACGAGTAGCGTATAGCCTGGGAAAGAATGCGTGAGATCATCTCTTCAGGGAGACCCGAAAAGAACATGGTTGTCTGAGTGAAGAGATGAAGGACGTTGAAGCGAAGAGGGGGAGGGGCGTACAAGCGTATTTATACCAGGATGTTGTTGTGGCCGTGCATGCCTCAAGTAAGGACCGTGCGCAGTAAACCTGCCAAAGGCCATGAACACTTCCTTTGTCCTCCTTTGTTTGACTTGGAGTCACATCAGACACTCGGTCCATCCACGGGGCCAATGCATCGGGTATGCAGCCTTCTTCAGTTGTAAGACTATTTTCAGCACATTTATCCCTTGAAAGACTGAAAGACATGATTTAGAGCTAAGTTTCAAGTTCCGACTTCCAAGAAGTGAGGTTGAAATAGGATCACGTGATCTGTCACGATCACCTGCCGCTTCGCGTCGCGGCGTCACCGCCATCACGTCATCGAGTGGCCACTTCTCTTCCACGACCACGATGGACGCAGCGCTACCAGAGGAAATCCTCCGTGAAATTCTATCGCACAACATACAAATTTCACATGTCAAATTTCACCGCTTCTACTACGGCAACTGGGGGTACCCCATGTCACCACCAATATCTCGCTGCAGCAATCTCCTCCTCGTCTCCAAACGCTGGCTCCGCATCGGCACCCCGCTGCTCTACGAATGCGTCAGGCTCTCAAATTCAGAGCATACCACCACCGTTGCCAACCTTTTGCGCACGCATCCACACGTCGGCCTAGCTGTTCGGTGCCTCAGGCTCGAAGGCGGGCTCGGGAAGGACCTGGTACACATCGCAAAGCTTACTCCGAAACTGCACGGCATATATATTAGTTTTAGCATCAAGTCTGTCGATAGTATCACAGGATTGAAGAAAGCATTTCCGCTTTTCCGTCCCGCCAGCTTGTATATCCAGGAGGAGAGCCACATGGAGAACAAGAAGGTTGCTGAAGCGCGGACGCTTGTGCGCACGCATATCAAAGACGTGTGGACATCACTGGTAAGCTGCGGATCTAGCGTTGTCTTTGCTAAGTCTAAGATCAACATCTCTTTCAGCGGTCTCTGTCCTTGTCGGACTGGTGTAAAGATAGCATGGATCAACAACTAGCTGACGTGCTTGCCGAGTCCTCTATTGAGGAATTCGGCTGCTTGGCATCCGAAGCAAAATTTTGGATTAGGTGGGGCTTGATGAGGAGGATCCTCGAAAATCCGCGGCTGCAACGCATCGTATGCCGAGGGATAGACGAAGAATCGACGACGCGGGAGACTCTGCAAAAGGAAGGTTTTCCTGACGCAATCATCCGGATGTTCACATTTGTCCGCCATATGGCGGAGGATGTACTGTGAGTACCGTAAGTATGCACTGTTCCACAGAGAACTGAAGTCATTATCTCGTATCCCAATGTTTGCTGGCATGGATAGCGACTCTTCTGATGAAGAGCTTTGATAACCATATCGCCGCACTCGCGGCGGCCTGTCCATGAGGCATTACTTACGCATACCCCACAGCATACTACGCTGTACTACACAGCAGTTATGCCAACTCATTCCAGTAAGCTTTGCTATGCTGGCCCACTTCACACTTCATAATATCACCTCATACTGCTCCCGCCACGGACCTATCACAATATCGGCACATACCCCAGGGATTGCGCACCGCGATCGCAGGGGACTCGGGCGCAGACTTGCCCGCACGCATCCGTTTCACCCCTTTGTGCGCCGCAGCAAGCGTGACAAGCAACGACAGACCGTGTCGGCAGGTGCACCAAGCGCAGTGATTAGAGATACTACAGGGACCGCAAGTTCGAGGCCGGCTAGGCACGCGTGTACGCGAGAGGATGGAACCTTGTACCGAGTGCAAACTGGGTGCTGGTGGTACTGCGCCAGGTCGCATACAACAGGGTAAGGGTACCGTTCTCTGGGTCTAGGTACCATTTGTTCATGCATAATGGCGCGTGGCTCGTCATTATCGAGACACCAAAGCTCATTCTGGACTGGTCACATTGTCTATTGTAGTCGTTAGCTGTTGCTTAGACTAGTACAGGCTCGCGCTTTGCCATCGTATAATAGTAGTTTTCAAGGATGTCCATCGTGCGCGTACACGAACTGTCCGGCACTAGGCTTCCAAGCGAGACGCAGGGTGCAAGTGAGATACGTTCTCTTGTGCGTCCAACGACGTTCTCACCAGCCGGCTTGGGGGGTCCGCCAATGCGAAGGAGGTGCTGTTGGCGATACGGTCGCGCCGTGGCGCTCGCTGACGTGTCTCGGGGGCCATCTTTGACGTCCCCCCACGACGCTATCGTGACAAGTCACGATCACCTGCTTTATGGCTCTCGCGTCGCGGCGTCATGTCACCGAGCGGTCACTTCTCCTCCACGACCACGATGGACGCAGCGCTACCAGAGGAAATAATCCGTGAAATTCTATCGCACAACATACAGATATCACACGTCGATTTTTGCCACTTCTACTACGACGACTGGGGGCACCCCATGTCGCCGCCAACATCTCGCTGCAGCAGTCTCCTCCTCGTCTCCAAACGCTGGCTCCGTATCGGCACCCCACTGTTGTACGAATGTGTCCGGCTCTCGGAGCCAGACCACACCACTGCGGTTTCAAGCCTTTTGCGCACGCATCCGCATGTTGGCCTAGCCGTGCGATGTCTCAGGCTCGAAGGCGGGCTCGGGAAGGACCTGGTACACATCGCAAAGCTTAGTCCGAAACTGCACAGCATATATCTCAGTCTTATTATCAAATCCACCGACAGTATTACAGGATTGAAGGAGGCATTTCCGCTTTTTCGTCCGGCCAACTTGTATATCCAAGGGGAGAGCTACGTGTGGATCAGGAACTTGAAGGTTGTTGGAGCCAGGACACTCCTGTGTACCCACATCAAAGATGTGTGGACATCGCTGGTAAGCTGCGGATCTAGCGTTGTCTTCGCTGATCTGGAATTAACATGTCTTCCAGCGGTCGCTCACCTTGTCAGACCGGTCTGAAGATATCATGGATCAAGAGCTGGCCGACGCGCTTGCCGAGTCCTCTATTGAGGAATTCGGCTGCGTGGCATTCGAGGCCGAACGCTGGGTCATTGAGGGATTGATGAGGAGGATTCTCGAAAACTCGCGGCTGCAGCGCGTCGTGTGCCGAGGGATGGCGTATGAATCGAGTATGCGGGTGAGCCTGCAAAAAAGAGGCTTTTCTGATGCAATCATCCGGACATTCACATTTATCCACCATGAGACGGATGTCACGTTGTGAGTACTGTGATTAAAGACCATTTTACAGAGCTAAAGTCACTATCTAGGATCCCGATGCTCGCTGCAATGGATAGCGACCCGTTTGATGAAGGGCTCTGATGCTCATTTCGCCACACTCACGGCAGCATAGCCATGAGACATTGTTTGTGCACCCGCGTACCCCGCAACATACTACGCTTTACTACACAACAATTACTTCTACTTAATCAATAAGTTTGCCGTGTTAGCATACTTCATAATAATAATACTGCTCTCGCCGCAGCCTTATTACAGTATCTGCACATATGCTAGGGATCCTCATGGCCTAAACAAGATTGCTTACGACTGTGCATCGAGCTCGCATCGTACGGAGCGTGCCGCAGCGGACTCAGGCGTAGACTTGGCCGCAGGGGCCCGCTCCACCGCGTTGTGCGCTGCAGCAAACGTGACGAACGACGGCAGACAGGGTCCGCGGATGCACCAAGCTCACTGATCAGAGATGCTACGGAGACTGCAAATTTGAGGCCCGACTGGGCGCGCGTGTATGCGGGAAGTGGATCGAGTGCGAACTGCGTGGTGGTGGTCGTGGTGGTGGTCGTGGTAATGGCGCATCGCTCGCCATTATTGAGCTCATTCCGGACTAGTCGCATTGTCTATGATAGTCATTAGCTGCTACTTAGACTAATACAGGCTCAGGCTCGCGCTTTGCCATCACATAAGAGCAGCTTTCAAGTGTGTCCATCGTACACATACACGAACTGTCTGGGACGCAAGCCGAACGCTACCAGACTAGACAAGATCAACATGAGCTGCAGCAGAGTCATTAGCGTACACTCTCCTCAGAATCCTGGTCACCACTTACAGCAGACAGCCACCAGATCGCTCCGGGCGCCTTCACCAAGGTGGCATTGAACAGCGAGACCAACACAGGGCCGCGCAGGGCGACGGCGGCTGATTGGAGGATGGACAGGCCAGCGAGCACTCGTCCGGTCTCGCCGGGCGGCGCGGCGAGCGTGACCAGCGCCTGCATTGACGGTCCCGCAGGCGCGCCGAACGCGCCTACGACCGTTGCTGCAAGTGCAATGTGAGTCGGACGTCAAGGTGTGGTACGTGAGGCACGGACCGAAGACCACCTCGTTGGCGTTGCGGCTGCACCCAACGGCGAGCATGCCCAGCGCGTCGAGCACGAGGCAGACGCGGACAATGGTGAGCTCCCGTGATATCGACGTTGCTTCGGCCGGAGGAGTGCTTTCGCTCGCCTGGAGTTCTTGCGTGGCTTCGGCCAGCAAGGGAGCTGTCTCATCTGCCGGTACGGTAGCGTACGCGGTAGCAAGTTGCTTGGCTGCTTGCTTTCGATTCACAAGCCATTGATAGGCGGCGACGCACATCGGAAGGAGAAACATAACAGAGGCAGCCCGTGAGACGGACCAGGCTGCGCTGATGATGCCCGCCTGCCCGAAGATAAGCCGGACTGTGAGATTCGAAAGACAAAGATTACGCACCTCGCTGGGTCCAAGTCCAAACTTGGTGTCGCAGTACGGTATGATGAGGTGGAATACTCCGAGGCAGAAAACGCCGACGGCCAGGGCGATAGATAGTAAAAGTAGCGTAACATGCTGCACCAGAATGATCACCGGCTCAAACACCGAGCGTACTGGAGCAAACAGACGCGACGCGACCGACTGGTATTCTGTAGCCCTGTCCGGCGCATCTGCAGCATTGGCGTCGGCGTAGTGTTCGGCCACAGGTACACGAACTTCGCGTACAACGAACAGCAGATACAGCAGATACAGCACCCAAACGAGCACCGTGATGACGAAGTTGATGGTGTAGAGGTCCTTGTTGAGGAGTACTGCACTCACGAGGGGGCCAACGGCGTTCCCGGCCCAAAACATGCCAAGCGCGAGCCCCATGTAGGACGAACGCTCGCCCGGGAAAGACGTGTCGGCAATGAAAGCGTTCTGGCCAGCCATGACGACGGGGACACCACCGCCAAGGCCTTGCACGACTGCTGCGATCTGCAAAAGCCAGGATTTGCGCAACGGGGCAGAGAATGCTGATCGCGAGGCGGTCAGCGCAACAGGGTATGTACAAAGGCCAGGGGCACGCACAGCATAGCGCAAGCCAGGCATTCCCAAGGACGTTGAGCACGGCCGAGATCGTCAACGCTCGTTTCCTACCGCGGAAGTCGGAGACTCTGCCATATGGCCCAGACAGCACGATGCCGAGTACTGCGAGGATGGTGGCAAAGACGGCGATGTCTGTCGAATACGCCTTCTGCACAACAGGCGACCGACAAATGTCGTCCTCGGGTGCGTGAGATGGCGATGTTGCGAGGTACTCTTTGCAGCGGATGGCACGGAAGAGGTACGCACTTGGCAGGTTGTCCAGGCCGACTGCGAGGGCCTGCAAGAAGGCGAGGGGAAGAACGACAGACGGACGGGTGCGCCATTCGTGCAATGCTGAAAGTAGCTTGTGCATGCTCAATCCTCCTGCGCGACGTCTTGGAGGATCTGGTAGAAGGAGTTCCGGGAGAATGAAGTCACGATGTCAAGGTCATCTGGCGCGTTTCCCCAACGTTTCCCTTGATGTATGTAGCACGATACATTGTCACCGCAGTGTTATCGTTATCACAAGACAGCAGCATGCGGCTTTTACGTATAGATGTTTTTGAGTTATATGTTGTGTATTTCGACCTTGGGTGTACGCATGAGGTTTGTGGGGGTGAATGTCAGCGTGGTTAGTGAAGAGAGGTCGAGGCTGTCGCGATCACGGAGGATTACGGTAGAAAGCGCGAGAGCGCCTTGTAAGCTCTGGTCTCGACCCTTCAGTTTCATTGCAATTGCTTCATCTTTCATCAGCCGCAGTAAGACTCGTCTTCGTAAACCCTGTTCATACATTCCGTGGGTCCTGGGATACGCAGCACATGCTCCAGGAACATCTACAGGTTGGCGTTGCGGCGCCGGTTGACCGCCCTGCATCAAGGAAAACGCCATCCTTTATAACCTTGATGTCATGGTATGGCTTTTGAGCAATCCCCTTTTCCTAGATCCTCCAAGAGGTTGCAGAGGAACATGAACGTGCACAAACTATTTTCCGCGCTGCACAAATGGCGCGCTCGTTCATCCGCCATCCTGCCCCTCGCCTTCTTGCAGGCCCTCGCAGTCGGACTGGGCGGCTTGCCGGCCACGTATCTCTTTCGTGCCATCCGCTGTGAAGAGTACCGCAAGACGTTGCCGCCCCATGTGCCCGAGGATGACATCTGCCGGTCGGCCATCGTACAGAAGGCGTACTCAACAGACATCGCCATCTACACCACCGTCCTTGCCGTGCTCAGCATCGTATTATCTGGGCCGTACGGCAGAGTGTCGGACATACACGGTAGAAAGCGGGCGTTAACAATCGCTGTCGCGCTCAACGCGTTCGGAGATACCTGGTTCGTGCTATGCTGTACGTGCCAGTCCTTGTGCCAGCCCTCGTGCTAATTGCCGCTCCCCGCATCCAGCACTTTTCGCTCCGCTGCGCACATCCTGGTTCCTTCAGCTTGCGGCGGTCCTACAGGGTCTCGGCGGCGGTTTCTCCGTCGTCATGGCCGGCCAGAATGCCTTCATTGCTGATACATCCGCCCCGAGTAAGCGGTCATACTACATGGGCCTCTCGCTCGTCATGTGGTGGGTCGGAAACACCGTAGGCCCCCTTATCAGCGCAGTACTCCTTGATGAAGGCCTCTACACCATCAATTTTGGCATCATTGTGGTTATCTGGGCGCTCTATCTGTCGTACCTTCTCTTTGCTGTGCGCGAAGTGCATGTGCCGCTGGCCGAGGAAAGCGCCTGTGCTGCTGCTGCGTTGGGCGAAAACGCAGCACACCGGTCGGCCGTGTCGCGTCTGCTTGCTGCGATGATTTCAGTAGTCGAACCGATAATCATCCTGGGGCAGCATATTTCGCTACTATTAGTGTCTATCGCTATGGCCGGCACCGTTCTGGCAATCGGAGTGTTCAACCTCATCATACCATACTGCGACACCAAGTTTGGAATGGAACCTAGTGAAGTACATAACGTTTGTCTCCCAAATCGCGCAGTCAAACTCATGATCATGCGCAGGCGGGCCTCTTAACCGCAGTCTGGTCTGTTGCACGGGCTATCACCGTCACGTTCCTCTTTCCAATGTTCCTCGCTGCTTACCAATGGTTGACAAATCGGAATCAATCAACGGAAGAGCCCACCTCGATACACGACACTGTACCGACCGATGAGACAACACCTTTGCTGGCCGAAGCCACACATGAACCCCAGGCAAGCGAAAGCACTCCACCGGCCGAAGCAACGTCGATATCGCAGGAGATCATCGTTGTCCGCATCTGTCTTTTACTCGACGCGCTGGGCATGCTCGCCATCGAGCGCAGCCGTAACGTTGGCGAGGCCATATTCGGTTTGTCCACCACGTACACGTGCCTCAATACCCGTCTGACATTGTAACCGCAGCAACGGCCATGAGCTCTCTTAGCGCGCCTGCAGGGCCTTCAATGCAGGCACTGGTCACACTCGCCGCGCCGCCCGGCGAGATTGGACGTGTGCTCGCTGGACTGTCTATCCTGCAGTCGGCCGCAGTCGCGCTCCGCGGCCCCGTATTTGTCCCACTGTTCAATGCCACGCTGGAAAAAGCGCCTGGAGCGATCTGGTGGCTGTCTGCTGTGAGCTGTAACCAGGATCCCTTGAAAGGCGTACGCTGACGACTGTGATGTAGCTCATGTTGACCTTGTGCAGTTTGGTGGCGTTCGCCTTGCGCCCGAGACAGTTTGTATATGCTCATGGCGGACATACTTGAGGGCTACCCTTCTGCAGTGGCAATGCACGACCATGTGTCAATCATAAACAACATAGCCAGTACAGAATGAGCTTACGCGCATCGATAGTGGTGAGCTACGCCTCGTTGCTTCCGACCCACCGGGGCCCAGAGAACAGCGTCATCAGCCCGTTTTTTTATGCGCGAGTCATCATCTTCATCATGCCATTCATAAATTCTATGAGCAAACTCACATGTCTTGTATCCAGCTCTTTCGACCTCCATGCATGTCTGTTACCCGTGGTAAGCTGCAATGCAAGCCGATACGGCGCTCCCAGCTGTCCGCAATTCTACTTCTCGGCTTTCTGCCGTCCTTTGGCGCGGCGCTATCATTGTCGCTCGTCATATTCGCTGTGGCCCCAGAGGAGACGGGCGGGTTCTAGCAGGAGACTCTGCACTTGAGTCAGCTGCGACAGTGGTGCGCGGCCTATTGTGATACGCCCTGTGCAATGCGACGCTTGATATGCCGCCTGAGATGAGCTGGCTCCAGACTGCGACAATCTTTATAGTCCGAGCTGGTGTTGTGACGAGGCTGCGGCCGCGGCAGGTTAAAATAGTAAGATAAAACAAGCGTAAAGCTGTATAACGGATCGTGCGCTGTGCAATGACGTATTGGACTGTAGTATGTGGCAAGAAATTGGTCCGTGCAGGTCATATCACACTGCTGAACTGTCGGATTGCAAGGTGAACCCTTCTTCATCGTCTGACTCGTCGTCCGAGGCTGGCAGCAACAGGTTACTAGAAATGGCATAAATTCTCTTGCGAAATAGTGTTTGAACGCAGTACTCACGCTATGCCGTCCGTCGTCTCGGAGACAAAGGTGAACTTCTGGATATTCGCGGCAGGAAAGTTATTCATCCGGAGACTCCACCGTATTATCGATTCACATGACAAGGGCCCCCGGCATACGACACGCTGCAACTGCGAATTCTCAAAGATTCTCTTCATTGAGCCTCCAGTGATCCAGCTATCTGCATCGAAGATCAGGCAGCAGAATTCCTCGATGGACGACTCGGCAAGCGCATTAGCCAGTTGATGACCCATGCTGAGGCAGAGCCAGTCGGATAATGTCAAGGATCGCTGCAGCAGACGTGAATATCAATCTCAGTCAAGACATATATTGACTTCGCAGCTTACCAAAGATGTCCACACATTTGTGACGTGCGTATACAGGAGTCTTCTGGCTTCGGCTATCTTCTTGTTCTCCTTGTAGCCCTCGTGCTCGATATACAGGTTCACCGGATTAAGCAGAGGGAATGCCCTTTTCAGTCCTGTGATACTGTCAACGGATTTGACCCTAAGACTGAGGTATATGCTATGCAGCTTCGGGGTAAGCTTGGCGATGTGCATGAGGTCCTTCCCGAGCCCGCCTTCGAGCCTGAGGCACCGCACAGCCGAGCCAACGTGTGGATGCGCACGTAAAATGTTGGCAACAGCGGTGGTATGCTCTGGCTTCGAGAGCTTGACGCATTCGTAGAGCAGCGGGGTGCCGATGCGGAACCAGCGTTTGGAGACGAGAAGAAGGTCGCCGCAGCGGGATTTTGATCGAGGGACGAGGCATCGGTAGTGTTTGCGAAATCGGAAAAACTCCGCATGAGAGACTAGTATGCTGTATGACAAGATTTCACAGAGAGTTTCCTCTGGTAGCACTGCGTCCATCGTGACCGTGGAAGACAACAAAAACGCGAAACGTGACTGTGTAATGACGCGATGTCACGGGAATCGCGAAACAGGTGACCGTAACCCGTGACAGTCGGACTCGGCCCACAAATTCCCTCGTCCGTACGTCGCTCATACCGAATGACATGTACACTCACCTCCCTACATTAATATTTCCTTGGCGAAATATTTGGAATGTGCTGCATACGTCTTGGAATGTCTACACGCGGAAGGTACATAGCTAACGTGTGATACTCATGATCAAGATGATGCTGCGGTGACTT